GAAGGAAGTACATGCTCACACCTGAAGAAGGCTTCACAGCCGAAACGTTGTGTTGCTCTCTTTTCAGCATGGAATAAACCTATTACTTTTTCCAAAGAAAATACATTTCTTAAAACCCACTTTTGGATTTAAAATCTCATTTCCACTAATGTACCACAAAGTTGCATGTTAAGCTTATCCCTGTGAAGAGTTTTCATTGAGTCAAACACTGCGTATCTCTGCAGTACTAACATTGGTATGTAGATTCTCAAGATAAAGTAATCATCCGTATCACAAAATCATCCTTGCAAATGAGAATGGCTCAAATTCATGCTGACAGAGACAGGTGCCTTTGATAGCGTGCTGTTTTTACTTATCCTCTGCAAACCACCAGTTGCTGAATGGTCCTTTAAAAGTCAGATGGTACAGTAAGTTATAAACGAGAAGGAGCCTATGAGAGATCTTGTTCATGGGGTTGTTGGTAGCTGTTTGACCACCTGGTTCTCAAGGATGATCAATATCATGCCTGGAACACATTCAAGAAAACTTATTCTTGTGTACAGAACTCCTATATTCAGCCCTAAATGGTCTGCACTTTACTATTTTTTGTAACTCCAGGTCCTTGTTTATTCAGCTTAATACTATCCTTTAGGTTAAACTTGCCGAAGACTTGCATGGCTTTATTTTCTCTCTTCAAGATTAAAGACATTCACTTTCTTTTCACTTTCCTCTGCATTTGAAATGAGGAATTAAATATTTTGATCTTTTAAAAGACTTTCCAGAGCAGTGATACACTGAACACAATATTCTCAGTGATTTCTTATTAACATGATGTCCATCTATCCATATTCTAACCACTTCTTCCAATTCAGGGTAATAGGGGATCCCAACAAGCAACAGGCTCAAGGCAGGGTACACCAGTCCATCGCAGGACAGATGCACGAACGTGGATGTGCCAATTTAAATACCAGTATGTCTTTAGACAGTGGGAGGAAACCGGAGCACCCAGAGGAAACAGAACATACAAAATCCTCATAGGAGACTCCATGAAGCCACTGGACCTCCTCGTATTTATGCAAATTTCTGCATTTCCTGGAAGGCCACACAGGGATGAGTCAGTCCATAGTATAGCCTCAGGAAGAGCCTGACAAATTGTTTAACCACTATTTATGTCTATACAGTATGTAAAGCCCCTGTTGACTATGCAGAGAGAGGGAGAGGAAAACCCTGTAAGTGACCATTATGATCTTGTTATATTGTGTCACGATGATGTCCAAGTCGGTGCAGATCTGGTGTGGTGCTGTGCTGGCGTTATCTGCAGAAACATAAGCAAACAAATGTGGTGCTCTGTGCTTAACCTGTTTGTTTAGCTGATTCAGTGCTTGTAACTAATACAGGAGACTCCACCCTGTCTTTGTGCTCAGTGCTGTTAGTGTCAGGCTGCAGGAAAATGGAGAGGGGGCAGGGCTGTGGTTAGGGATGATGGTGAAGTTAATGTTAGGGTCAGTTTCATTGTTGTCCTATAGCTGCAGACTGCAGCACTAACAAGGTTAGTTTCTGCTTTGGCCAAATGTGTCAGATACACAGAACAGTAACAAACAAGGCTGCGTTAAGAGAGACAAAGTTCTAAGATGGAGATCCTCACTTCAACCACACTCATGCACCACTTCCTGGTTTTTAAATTGTCAACTAACCAATCATCTTCCTCCAACTGGTCAAGTGACAAAAGGGCAGAGGGTCATTTCCCACAGCTTGCTGGGAAATGTGGTTGAAACAATGTTCTCCATCCCGTATCCTCCTACCATTGTCAAATGCCAATCAGACAAAAAATCAGAGAAAAGGCTTTATTGTAACAGTATGAGTAATAATGATAGTCCTACTGTAACATAAGATATTGCTGATGTTATTATGAAATGTGACAGATTCAGAAACAGTGTCTGATGTATACATTAGTGAAATTTAATGTGTAGAACATTAGCTCTTATTTTTAAAATGCTGTGTTGGAAACCCTCTAGAAGCTATTAATCAAAATCATCATGTGCAGTATTCTTTAAGATGATGGAAGAACCCATGGAGTAAATTTTATTTAAATAGTAAAATAATGCGTGTAATCGGTGTCCTTATCAATGATATCAAGCAGGTTTTTGTATTTCAAGAATGAGCACACTGGATTTGTGAATCAATAGGCTGTACTAATATTTATGAAAATTTTTCTCACTTGAGCTTTGCTTTTATATATATCGTTCTTTTCTGGTTCCCTCCTCTCCAACTTCTCTCTTCTTGACTCTTCTTCCCTCAGTAAACAAGTTTCACAAATGAAATCCACCACCTCTATTTTAGATCCTGTTCCCACCACTTTATTTCAGTCCTGTTTCACTTCCCTCTGCCCCATTGATGTCCAATATTCAGCAGCCCAAATCCTTACCAGGTCTAGTGCAAGTGATTACATTACTCCTATCCTGGAGTCTTTGCACTGGCTTCCTGTCAAGTTTCATGTCGACTTCAAAATCCTCATGCTCACCTATAAGGCTTGGCACCTCAGTACCTGTCTGATCTATTATCGCCCTACTCCCCACCTCACAACCTTCACTACTCTAATTCTGGTCTCCTAACTGTCCCCCAAGCCCATTTACACACTAAACTCTGGAAATCTCTCCCCAAGGATATCAGAGAGTCACCTTCTCTAAACTCATTCAAATCCAGACTCAAAACCTTCTTCTTTAGAAGAGCCTTTACTTAACTGGTTCCATTCTTTACAGTAGTACCACCATCTACTGTCTCCTCTGTGTATTCTCATCATGTTTATCTTGTGTATTTTTATTATTATAAAAATATTATTGTTTATTTTTAATTATTGTTGTTGCTATTGTCATTCTGTATAGTGCTTTGAGAAGCCACATTTAAAGGCGCTATATAAAATAAAGTTTATTATTATTATTGTTGTTCAGCTGTGTCAGCATGTGTAGGCTGCAAAGGAACAAGTAATAGGTTAATTCCAAGCTGAGAAGAGAAGAAAGAAAACACAACGTTTCGGCTGTGCATCCACAGTACATCAGTACATTTATATTAGAATTTAAGACATTGAATTATACTTGCTTTGTCTAAGTTCTTCTGGATAACAGTTTTGATGATGATATCACAATTAACATTTCCAGGGTCTTTTGTTTTTTATCTTTTCTTAAATGAAATATTATAAAATGGGTCCAAATCCCATTGGTGGGGAGTGACACCACTGTTTCACCATTAAGACCTTCATCATGTTCAAGACCTTCATCAACTAACAAGACCTGTCTTGCCCACTTATTGGGTTTCTGTGTGTGTCTCACATATCCCAAACATTTCCAAATATAGGGTAGCCTCCTCCCAGGGTTTTGAAGCAATAGCTCTCCTTAGGATTCAGAGGTACAACCACAGCTGTCTCACCTCCAGCCCATCCCCATCTTATCCCCTGTCTGTAGTTTGTCTGAAACCATGATTGCTGTTGCACAATACTGGTCTTCCCACTGTCTTTCTGCAACAATATGCCTCTGAATGGAGCACCACTTCAAATCAAGACAGGGCTCTGTAAGGAGAATCGCTCCTCCTCACTCAGACAGAAACGCTACTCTGACCACCCTGCCCAACTCACCATACTTATCGCGCTGCAGTGGCAACAGTGTTGATGGGATGAATGTTTATCTAGATTTTTTCTCAAAAGAGATAGCAAACAGTGCAAAAGATCATCAAAAAAAAACTCTCTTTTTGAGCACTAAATGTATTCTTGACAGGCCAAATCGCTCACGGAGCACAAAACTGGTCATAACCAGTCAAACCTTCCTCCACATTACTATCCAATCTGTCACCCACAGTTTCAAAGCTTTGCTTGCTTGCTCTGTCACTTTTCAATCCGCTCCAGTGCATATGGACTCTGTCTCCTGACAGCAGATGCAGAACTCTTGAAACCTCCACTTCCTGGTTTTAAATTGTCACTTCACCAAGTGGAAGAAGAAAATCAGTCAGGAGACAGTGATGAACCAGGAAGGGGAAGGTTCTGATGTCTGTAAACCTCTGCTGACAAGGAAGAGAGCAGAGGCTCTATTATGTGCTACACCAGAGGGAAAGCAGCAAGGAAATGCATTAACATTAGATTGTAAGCTTTTCAAATTGAGAACGCAAGTCTTGTTTTGAGCCGGAAAGCAGTTTAGCTGTTAATAGGGAGGACAACTGAAGGAGAAGTTAAGTTAGAGCTTAAAGAGGAGTGAACGTTTTTCATTATTTTGGAACATTGCACCTTATCAACTTAATAGCATTGTTGCATTGTTTTTTAATCTTACAGCCATGTACGTGTGTCTGTTGCCTGTGATTCTCCCAGTAAAGGATGCTTGCTACCATAATGGTGTTACACCAGTTATTTGTCTGAGTAATAAACATTTGCTGAACTTATAGGATGATTTGAGAGGTGGGAACAATGCTGTCTTTACTGACTGCAGGTCAGCAGACCTCTTAGGCTCTGCTGATGGACCCTGTCTGAGTGCTTCTACAATAACCTAACAATCACACATCTGCAAAGTGACCTATTCCCAGAAACCTCCACTCTCTATGGCCGTGAGGCAGAATGGGGAAGCAGAGTCTCCCACATAATAGTAGGGAGTGGCAGCTCGCGTGACTCACTTGTTTATCCTGTCTGTCCATAACGTCTGCTTTCTCAGGTCTGGCCCCCACGCTCATCCCTCCTGTTCTCCTGTCCTACTGTCGAGCAGATGTCTGGCTTTTGTTTGATCTCTTTGTACTGTACTGTGTCTCCAGCCATAGCTCTGTTTTGTGTGTCTGATGTCTGAAGTGTGAAGTGGCAACTTGTACCTTGAAATTAATGTGAAGATGATGATCTGATGATTTGTCTCTATGGAAAGAGTCAAAGTTTCTTCTTTTGGTGCCTAGTATTAGATAGCGAGAGGTTTGTGCTCTGTTGGTACAGTACAGTCAGAGGACTGGGGTGTGAAGTGAGAACTTTATCTTGTTATAAAGTTCCTGATCAGGGATCTTAGGGATCGCGTGGTCAGTTCACCCTGCTGGAAGTCAGTGTGGGAAGCGGGTTCCTGTTCCTGGACTTAGTGACTTTGGATAAAATATAAAGGGACACCTTTAGCTTAGGAGCAGCCTGCCCAGAGTACTACTTCCTTATTCTGTGTAGAAGCATCACCAGCAGAGTCTGCTCAGGCTCTGCTCCTGCTTATCCTTGTGGAGACCGGCACAGGGCAGTCAGGGATGCCCCTCCCTTACCTTCGCTAACTCCTCCTCAGGCTCCTGAGAGGGATTTATAAGCAAACACATGCAGAAGAGCAGAACGGCTGACACCAGGGGCGACTGCTGCTCTCTCTCCCGCACACAGACACACAGGACCAAGGCATGGCAGGCATCGCCTCACACCTGGCCAAGAAGAAGGCCGTGGAGGAAGGGCTGGGCAGCAATGACAATGCAGTCAAGTACAACAACCAGGACTTCGAGTCCCTCCAGAGGCAGTTCCTAGCAAAGGGGATCCTGTTTAGTGATGAGACATTCCCTGCTGAACCTGAGTCCCTGGGCTATAACGAGCTGGGTCGCTACTCGTCCAAGACCCGAGGGGTGGTGTGGAAGAGACCCAAGGTAAGAGAGCTCAACAAATTCAGTCTCGGGATCTGCTGCTCATCGTAGATTGTTGCCCTTCGCTTATGGGTCCCCGGGGGATCACATGCTGTTTCTTTTATTTTGTACATTTTAATTCATCTTAGGGAACGGATCTGCCCTGCTCAGGGCTGTCTGAACAAATAAATTCAGTTGAGAGTCATTTGTGGTGCTGTTTGTTATTGTGCTCCTTTGTGCACAATAATGGCAGCAGCAGTAACAATAGTATTGTTAATTAATATGACTGATGACTTTGCCCACAAAACCTTGCAAGACGTACAGTTATGATGTACTTTTGACTCCTTTCATCTTGAATGAAACAGGGGCTTTGAGAGCTTTTGCTTGGTTTAATGAGGTGCCGAATCTGCATTAGGGTAACCTGGTCCCTGCACCAAGCTCAGTGTGGCTTGACCTCATGAAAGTTCAACGGTCATCATTGGACATATGGGGCATGGTGCAATGTCTGAAACTGAGGAGAAGACTGCCTGAAAAGGGACAGGAGCACTCACAGGTGTGCTTCAGTCATAGGCAGCCTCTGCTCCTCCGACAGGTGTACAGACAGGTGTACAGAGCTCAACCTCGCCTGTAGCAGGGTCTCGCGGACCCAGTCCTCTGGGCACACTGGCTGTTCTGGCCTTTGTTCCAAGTGAATTTTCAATTCTTCATTAAACACTAGGCTAACATCACTGTTTATTTTTTATTTTGTTAAAGCTTTTATAAACTTCATCCCTGAAATGTTGTATCTTACAACGCACTGCTGTTGCAGAGCTGAAAGCAATAATGAAAAGCATTATGAAAAAAATCATAGACTGGGAGCTCACCTGAGGCACATGTCCATAGGCAAAGAGTGTGTGCCTATGACTGTGCCTGGCACGGGTCACTCTGCTGAGTGTCTATGAGCAAGGCTGTTTCCATGGTAACTATCAGGGAGCGAAAACGTGTCGTTTTAATTCACCTCATTGCTCTGTGCACAATCCAACAGATTGTCTGAGGAATATGCTTTTATGCTTTCAGTGTTCCTCAGAGCCCTTAAGAGCCCTTATGGAAGGCTGGATTCCTTCATCTTAGTCTTGTGATCAGGGAATTCTGCTTGCTTTGCTTTTAAAAGTTGGTTGAAGAGACAGAAAGTTAGAAACATAGAAAAAGTAACTCAAACTAAAAAGTGTCCTGGGTGCTCAAATAAAAGAAAGCATTAGGATTCTTACTAGAAATCTATCAGGATTTTTTTTAAATACTGTGCACTGTAAAGAAAGGGGTGCATCAGCTGTAAGAAAATTTATTTTGCACCAGCATTACTTTCTCTCCAACATAAAGACCTTTGCAGACTCTACAATTACACAGTGACGCCAGCTTTCTCTGTCCTGGAGAAGAAAGGATCTTATGGCTCTGGGATTCTTACATTGTGAACGGTTTAAGACAGGATTTGGGATTTAAATGGGACCTTGTTTAAATTTGCATAGGTGTAGAGCCATTGTGCTCCTGTTGTTTGTACAGAGGGAGGTGGTCTGAATATGCAGCTGAGTCCTTCTGCGTGCATGTCAAGAATTTGCCACAGGTGGCTCAGGTGGCTTTGCTTGATGGAGGATAGGCCTAATAGCATGGTTATATTTTTAAAGAAAATCACATTTCAAAATCATGAAAAACTGTATTTCTGTGCATCAGTTTTTAGCCCTTTGCTCATAATTTTATTTTTCTGGCCTTGTTATTCTTGCTGAGTATGAAATGTTTGGGGTATTTTGGTAACTTTGTTTTAACTACCCAACCACTCAAGATGGAAAGCCTTCAATCTGTTGTGTTTAGTTACAGATAATTTATTGGTTGAGAAATTATCTGAAGGGATTAGGCTTCATATGAAAACAAAGCCATTCACAGCAGAATCATAAAGGAAGAGATGAACTATCAGAGCCTCATTGTCTCCCTGTGAAGTGGTAACAGGGAAGTGTACTGACACACCTTGCACTGTTTGTCCTCTTATTACCCAAGGTCACCCTGACAACTCTGACCCGGTCTGTCAGGATCAGGTTTCCTGTAGGAGTGTGCACACGCACATACAGCACACACACAGACACACATACACACACAGACACAGGCATACACACAGACACAAACAGTATACACACAGGCGCATGTGCACACATATACAGACACACACACAGGCACACACACAGTTCACACGCATACACACAGGCACCCATGCACACACATACACAGACAAACACACATACACATACACAGTTACATGCACAGGCACACACATACACATGCACATACACGGTTAAATGCAGATGCACACGCAGGTGCACAGACACACATACACGGGCAAACACACATGCGCACACACACATACACAGGCACATGCTCACACAGACATGCACACGCACAGACACACACATACTGTACACATACACATGCATATGCACACACAAATGCACACACATATACAGACACACATGCACACTTACACAGGAACAAGCATTCACTCAAGCAGACACGGACACATACACAGGCACAAACAGACACAGAGAAGAGGTTGAGGCTAAATTCATATTACTGTGATCAGGCATCCTAAAATAGTCATTTATAAATTAAAAACAGGTGTTACTGTTTCTATTCTTATTACTTTGTTTTTTAAAGTTAACGTACATTTGTTCAGTTTGCTGTTTATCTAATTCATTAATGCATTTTTCAGGTGTTCACAGTTAAATGTTGCATGAAACAGAAGACTTTATCTCAGACTTTATATTACATTAGTATCATATATATTTTTAACAAATCTTAACATGGCTTTTTAAAATTGCCTCTTTGCAGGAGCTGTGCTCAAATCCTCAGTTCATCATTGGAGGAGCGAACAGAACAGACATCTGCCAGGGAGCTCTGGGTGAGTTGAAGTGCCTCAGACAGGCAGGTTTCTGGTGTCAGAGGTACTTGGGCAGAGGAGGGGAGCACTGGGCAGCTGTTTAATTAATCTGGTACTCTGGGTCGCACAGCTCAGAAGATCCTATAAGAATGAGCTACTGTCTAACAGCAGCCAGTGGGAATTGTGCAGAGTGTGGCTGTGACGGGCCTGGTCGAGCTCCTGTCCAGCAGGCTAGTTCGCAGGACTGCAGCTCTTTGGTGCTGGAAATCTGCATCAATGCTGGGGAGAGACTCAGGTGGTGATGTGAATCTGGGTGGGATGTCAGTGTAGATGACCCAGGCTCTCCACTTGGAAGCAGCTACAATTCCAGTTAGTGACATTATATACTTGCTTTGCGTACTGTATAAAACTAGTGTCTAAATTATTGTAATTTGATAAGGGATCCATATGGAAAGCAATATGTTATGTTGTTGCTCTTGAAGAAAAAAGAAAAAAAACTGACATTCACAATGGTCTATCAAGGTAACTGTTCCTGCCCATTAGTTAAAAAGAAGCAAAACCCAATGCAGAGTGTGTATGCATGTGTGCATGTATGTATATGTGCATATGTGTGTGTACATGCGTGTTTTTGCATTCGCGTTTGTGTGTGCTTGCATGAGTATGAATGTGTGTGCATTGTGCTTGTGTGAGGGTGTGTATGTGTGTGTGCTTGAGTGTGTGTGCGTGTGAGTGAGCGTGAGTGTAATACTATAACTTGCCTGCATCTAAAATACAACGTTATCCAGCTTCAGTAGTGACCCAACCTGTCCAACTGGGTTGTGATGCCCCACGGTAACACTTGAATTCTTATTGGTTATTTTGTCTTGTCCTCTGTTTTCCACAGCCCTTTGCACTTTTTAAACCTGTAGTCTAGGGAGCCTCTTCACTCAAATCAAGGAAAGAAGCCATGTTGACAAGGTTATGAATCAGTCGCAAACATTGCATTTCTAAATTAATTACATTTCCTCAAGTGCTGCGGCAGGGAAGTGCTGCGTCTCGGCTCTTGCATTTAAAATGACACAGCAGCCAGCTGGTTTGGTAGCGCCCCCTGCTGCCACTCACGGGCAGAGCTGCAGTTTTGGATGTACAGTATAATGATGTATTTTTCCAAGCAAAAACATCAGAAGCCAGTTTCTTGTCTAAGGCATATTGTTCTGCATGTCTTGTGTGTCAGCTGACCAGATTGAAAATACAAAAGAGATCTGAGCAATTTGAAGAATTTTTAGAAAATATTTCTACTTTAGAAAAACGTAGTATATGGCAGTTTCTATTGGTTTATTTATCTTGCGGTCTACAGGTGGCTGCTAATGTTACTCTCTATTATGATCACTGACTGTGGCGGGCAGAAGCCTCCTGCTCTGTGTACACTAAGGCCCCCTGAAGGGAGAGAAGGCTCCTGCTTGCCCCAGTCGCCATGGGCGGGACTGGACACTGCCCATCCCGCTTCAAAAACCAACACCTCCACAGATATGTGCCTGGCTGCACCCTGTTCACATTCCTTACACAATGGGAATGGGAATGCTTACATTAAGTTTTAGAAGAGGAAAGAAAGAGGCTTTGCTACCCCTTTTAGTTGTATTTAAAGCTCTTTTTTAAACTTTCTATAGCCTGGCTTGACCACAGAAGGGTTGAACTAGTGGACGTTAGCATATCCTTAGCGCACACCCAGTCATACAAGCCTGTGTTTGCCTTTCTGTTCTTACATGGGTGTTTGCAGAGCCAGCTCACCTGATCTCTTTGCATCTGAGACTCTAGCTTGTATTTTCAATGGCTTGAAATAGTGTGTAATAGTGAAAGAATGATTATGGATAGACTATGCAGGCAGATGGAACACACAGCACTCCCTGCACTCGAAGTGGCCACTAGCTCACTTCCAGGCTACAGAGCAGGAAGTCTGACAGCCACACACACTCATGCACTCATATCAGGGTCACAGAAAGACAGTGTCTGTCCCTGTCCAAGTCCCTCTACCTGTCCCTGTCCCTCTCCCTGTCCCTTTCCCTGTCTCAGTCCCAGTCCAAATTCCTGTCCCTGTCCCAGTCCCTGTCCCTCTCCACCTCCCAGTCCCTGTCCTTGTCTCTTGTCCCAATTCGTGTCCCAGTCCCTGTCCCTCTCCCTCTCCCTCTCCCTCTCCCTGTCCCTGTCCCTGTCCCTTTCTCTGTCCCAGTCCCTGTCCCTCTCCCTGTCTCTGTCTCTGTTTCTGTTTCTGTCCCAGTCTCTCTCCTTTTCTCTGTCTCTGTTCCTATCCTAGTCAGAGTCTGAGTCTGAGTACCAATTAATCTCCCTCTCCCAGTCCCAGTACTTAGAGGCCATGGAATGAGAGCTGTGTAATCACAGTCCTGTCCACACTCAGCTGTCCTGGCAGATATAATGTGTTTCAGAGGCTCAAGATACTGCAATACATTTTCAGCTTTGAGATGACAGATTTAAACATTCCAAACATTTTTTGCATGAGCACAGCACAGTTTGCTATAGCAGTGAGACTGAAACTAAAATTGAGCAACAAAAAATACAATTTACAAGCAGAAATAACTATCTAATGTTATCTATCTGCAACATGTCAACAGTCACCAATCACCCCGTCAGTACAGCAGAACAGTGCAAGTGGCACTACTGTATGATCTTCTGGCTGGAGAATGCTAGTGTGCATATGAGAGCGTGTCTCCTGTCAGTGTGACATGCCTGGACATTAATCCCATGGGAACCAAGAGCACATGCTCTGTTCCACTGTTTGCTCTGCTGTGTAAAATCCTCTGCCTATACCCTCTACCTGCTGATGCGCAATGACAAGTTAGCCCTACAGTGGCCTATATGCCCTTAAATAAAAAAAGGCTGTTGTTTTGAAAGATAAATTAGGAAAGGTGAAAAGGGTTTAACTTGTTTTATGGTATAGATAGATTTTAAATGAATGTTTTTCTCTAATTTGGTTTCAAAGCTTTAACATATTTTTCAGTTTTGTATTCTGTCAGCATTTGTCTCACTAAAGAATGATTACCTTCTGTTACTAACTGCAAAAGGCAACCAAAAACTGAAAAGACTAGATCTGGATTCAGCCCATCCAGATCTGCTTAGACTGATGTCTAGTTCTGGTTCCACCAGGTGACTGCTGGCTCCTGGCTGCCATCGCTTCCCTGACTCTGGACGAGGAAGTTCTGGCTCGAGTCGTTCCCAGTGGACAGAGCTTCGACGAGAACTATGCCGGGATCTTCCACTTCCAGGTAAGGCAAGGAAAAAAGCAAGACAGGCAGTGGAAGTGGAAGAATAGTGGTTTATAATTTGTAGTCAGGAACCCCTGAAAACCCTGTATGGTTCATGCATGATTAGATAGCCATCAAGTGACTTGCTGTCTCCCTGCCCACAGTTCTGGCAGTACGGAGAGTGGGTGGACGTGGTCATCGATGACCGGCTGCCCACCAGAGATGGAAAGCTGTTGTTCGTCCACTCAGCCGAGGGCTCGGAGTTCTGGAGCGCCCTGCTGGAGAAGGCCTACGCCAAGTGAGTAGTCCTTACTGGGAAAGTTCCTGAGCAGTCCGTTTTTGTCTCTTGAAAAGAGCCAGCAATACACATGTTCACTTTTCAGAAGATAGGAAACAAATTCTGTTACTGATTGAAAAAATCTTCAGAAAAGAATAACGAAAGTTTTGTAATTTTCCAGCTAGAACATTCCCGATTCAGATGGTGCTTCAAAACTGCTGCATGAAACTATTTCAGCCTCTGAAAAGAAGCACACTTGTATTTCCATGCAGGAAGTGAGATTTTCATGAAGGAAGTGAGCTGGGCAGACAGTCAAGGACATGAGTAAACATTTAAAGGCTGGTCTTGGATAACAGCTGAACCATGAATTTGAAGCCCTGTTTGCAAACAACTAATTTTGCTGTTTGTTTTCTCCTGTCACATTGAAAAAAAAGAGAAAACTCAGTCCCTGTTTTTTGTTTTTCATGTTAAGACAGTATCCCAAATTAAACCTTCCACAAATGGCTGTCTTGTCAGATGACTGTATGACCCCACTCTCAGGGTAACTCAAGGTAAACATGTCTGTGTTGTGCTGGGCTTGTCTCCTGCAGGGTCAATGGCTCCTATGAGGCTCTGTCTGGGGGCTCCACCATTGAAGGCTTCGAGGACTTCACCGGGGGGATAGCAGAGACGTACGAGCTGAGCAAGGCCCCCCCAAACCTCTTCCAAATCATCAGGAAGGCCCTGGGCCTGGGCTCTCTGCTGGGCTGCTCCATTGATGTAAGTGCGCCAGTGCAGTGGCTGAGGCCAAAGTCTCAGGGCTCAGATGATTCAGCAGGGAAATCCTGACAAACAGCACAAGTGAAATGGGCTGGGCTCACAAATGGAGGACAAAGAGTCTGAATGTGTTTGGACAGCATGGGCTCAATGTGAACTATTTTAATACCAGCTGTACAACATGAGGGGTGCTCCATTCTGCTGTTTTAAATATGTTATGTTTTCTTTCCAGTGTTTGTACTGATTCTGTAGTACTAGTCCTGAAGTGGCTCTGGTCTCACCAGCTGAGCTCTGACACTTAACTCTGTCTTCCTGTCCAGATCACCAGCGCCTATGAAACTGAGGCCGTGACCTCTCAGAAGCTGGTGAAAGGACATGCGTACTCGCTCACTGGAGCCGAGGAGGTAGGGCCACACTGCCAAGCCCATTCTGGTGATATCGGACCCCTCTCTCTCACAATCCAGCTCAGACCTCAGGGTGGCTTGGCTGCAGGGCAGACAAAGGTTTAGAAGTGTTTGCTGTGATTCTCTGGGGTAAAGACAAACCAGAAACACAGCAGGGAAAGAAGAGGGAGTGTCTGTGACCATAAACGACAGGTTCTGAAAGTATACCTCATGCTCCTTCTGTAGTACTGAAATATCCTGAATGACACAGCTGAAATATGTGATTATAAGATTTTAAATACATTTTAGGCACACATATATTTTATGAACTGAATACGTATACAGTATACTGTATGTATTGAAATGATTTTATGAAATGTAGCTCGTTATATTTTCAAACACATTTTGAAATGTTTAATATTACATTGGACATGCACAAGATACTTAGGACAGCTTTCCTTATACTGTAGTTCTCTACACATATTAAAATGTGTAAAGAACTTAAGAGGTTAGGACTTAACACGTCCTAACACTCATATCATTATTAAAATACCTGTAAGGAAACAGAAATGTTTATGAGATATGTCTGAAATATATTTATACTGCACTGTTATTTAAGTATGTTTCATTACCACATTGATACATGCATTGCAGACTGCGCACGTTTAAGTATATGAAGTGTGTAATTAGGATTGGAGTTCAAAAGATGTATTTTCAGGCCACTTATTGAGGTTGTAATATACTGTGTTGAGGCTGTAAAATAAGCCTGAGCCTGAGTCTGGTTTCTCTCCAGGTGAACTTCAGGGGCAGTACGGTCCAGCTGGTGCGGGTCAGGAACCCTTGGGGCCAGGTGGAGTGGACCGGGCCCTGGAGTGACAAGTAAGGGCTTCTGACACCACATCCTGGGACAAGAGCCCAGACCAGAGTGCGCTACATGCTGTACAGGACACACTGTCTTCACAATGACTGGACTGGACTAGTGAACTAGTGGTGCTTGTCAGATAGTCATAATGCCAAGTAAAGTAAGAATCAATCTGAGCTGAGCTGAGCTGTGGAGTATCAGCTGCCAAGCTGTCATGATTTCAGCTCAAAGATGGTTTTGAGCTGGATAAATCAATGAATATATAAATATGCTCAGTTTTATATATAAATGTGTCTTCTACAGCAATGTCCGCATGAAGACAATTTCTGCCTGAGATTTCATCTTGATGCTGGTCCAGCTTTGTCACTGTAATCATCAGGCTCTGATTCAGCCCCATTTCCTCTTGACAGCTCGCGGGAGTGGGACTACATTGACCCGAAGGAGAAAGTCCGGCTGGATAATGCCGCAGAAGATGGAGAGTTCTGGTATGCAGTGTCCAGTGTCCTGAGGCCTGTTTGTCCAAGCACCAAGGCAACTGGAACAACAGGCTTCAGAATCATTTGTCTGGCAGAAATACTTTTTGAAATTGTGCTGTAAAATAAGTGCACCAAGCATCTCATACAAGACAGCTGAGTAGACAGTTCCAAAGAGCTATAAAGAAAATGAGAATTGGCCAGTTCAGACCTTGGAAAAATGGGAATTCTAGGATGTTTTTCAAAGAACCCTTGTAGGCAGCTTCTTCCTCTCCGTAGTTGATCAGCGGTTTCTATTTTGTGTAGGATGTCTTTCTCTGACTTTGTGAGCCACTTCTCCCGACTGGAGATCTGCAACCTGACTCCGGACACTCTGACCGGCGACGATGTGCACAAGTGGAACCACTATCAGTTTTCTGGGATCTGGAGTGTGGGCTCCACAGCTGGGGGCTGTCGGAATTACCCAGGTAGTTTGTTGTGCTCAGGGAGAATGTAGCCTTTATTAACACAGGCTGTTTCCTGCTGTGACAGTCCACTCGCTGAGGTGTGACAGTGTTGTTATTTTGGGACACTTCTAAAGTTTATCAGCAAAGTGGAACATTTCCACACAACTCACCAAGTTATCTTCTTGATCCAGAGTAATAAAAAGCAGAGAGATCGCAATGGCCCTGAATGAAGAATCGTTAGAAATTGTTGCTTTCTGAAAGAAGAAAATACCACAGTCTGGCTTCTCTGTCTCTCCAGCCACCTTCTGCTCCAACCCCCAGTTTGCCATCAAGCTGGAAGAAGTGGACGATGACCCCCACGACGGTGAGGAGGGCTGCACCTTCCTGGTGGGGCTGATGCAGAAGGACACCAGGAAGGAGAAGAGGTTCGGGCGCGACCTCAACACTGTCGGCTTTGCTATATATGAGGTATGGAGTGTAACTGTCAAGCCTGTGTGAGAGCTGTCCCTGCAGTCTTTGAAAACATTGCACATGGGACCCACATACTAGATCACATATTCTGTTTTTTAAATATTACGTTGATTTTTTCGGTAAATTTTGTCAAAGTTCATTGTGGTTTTGCTATATCCTGCTGTAAACTGCCATGCCAGTAGTAGAGCAGAGAAGGGAGTCCATTGTGACTTTTTTCGAAAATGTCACATTTGAAAGAAGAGAACACTTTCCCATTTGGAAGAAGAAGAGAAAAGACATTAAGAAGTGCTGTTTTGATTTTCTTTTTCAGGTTCCCAAGGAGGTACGTACAAGGGATGGGAGCTTGAATCTAACTTTCTTAAGTCAGTGTGAAACTCTTTGCTTCTCTTCAGTGAAGGTAAAATGCAGAGGAGACTGTAGATGGTGGTACTAAGTAAAGGCTTTTCTAAAGAAGAAGGTTTTGAGTCTGGATTTGAAGAAGTTTAGAGAGGGTGACTCTCTGATATCCTTGGGCAGAGAAATCCAGAGCTTGGGGGCATAACAGGAGAAGGGTCTGTCACCCCTAGAGTGTAGATGGGCTTGGGGGACAGTTAGGAGACCAGAATTAGAAGAGCGAAGGTTGCAAGATGGGGAGTAGGGTGATTATTGGTCAGACAGGTACTGAGGTGCCAAGCCACGCAGAGTCTTATAGGTGAGCATGAGGATTTTAAAGTCTACATGGAATTTGACCGGAAGCCAGTGCAAGGACTCCAGGATAGGAGTAGTGTGATCATGTGCACTAGACCTGGTCAGGATTTTGGCTGCCGAATATTAGACATACTGCAGTTTGTTCAATGTGGATTTAGATACCCCAGGGAGTCGAGCATTACAGTAGTCAATTCGAGAGAACACAAATGTGTTGATCAGCTTTTCAGCCATAGTTAGTGATAGCATAGGGTGTAGTCTAGCGATATTTCTGAGGTGAAAAATGGATGGATAAAGAGAAAGGTGTACACTGCATTGCAGACTAGACTGCGCACAGCATATGAGGGCAAATCAAACGCAGTGTGAGGCTGAGCTCTTCAAAAGATCTGTATGCTCAGAGGGCAATCCTCTTACCTGTAAACTGACAAGAACAGCCCAACTTGACTTTATTCGCTGAAAGGAACCTTTGCTCTTCCTGGTGCCGAAACAGTACAAGGGTCGCACGAACATCCACCTGGGGCCCGACATCCTGCTGAGGCAGAGGGCTGTGGCCACGAGCAACACCTTCATCAACCTTCGCGAGGTCTGCAACCGCATGAAGCTGCCCCCGGGGGAGTACATCATCGTGCCCTCCACCTTCGAGCCGCACAAGAAGGGCAGCTTCGTCTTGCGCTTCTTTTCTGAGAAACAGGCCACTGCCAGGTCAGGGAACATCCCCGAGGATTAGCCAGTTAGGTTGGGCTGTAAATACAACCACTACGTATCTATTTAGTTTAATGCTCAGAGTTTGATATACTGTACTTGCCATATGTTAATGTCAGGACATTGTTTCTTTCTGTTCTTGCAGCCCCATGGATCATAAGGTTAAAGCAAAAATCCAGGAGGTAAGCAGCCCTTTCATCATCTCTTCTGATGCGGTGCAGCTTGACTGAGTGGAAAGAAGCAGCCACACATGTGCACCGGCCGACAGCAAGTGTCAGCCGCTCCGGTTTTCTTGTATTTGTTTGGGCCTGATGTCAGTGAAGAGCAATACCCCATTCCGCCTGCATAAGGACTGATGCTGAACTGGGGAACAGGCTGAGCAGAGAGAAGGGCAATATTCGTGTTGTTGGAAAAGGTCACGGTTCAGTTTTTAACACCAGCTCTGAAAACCTGAGTGTAAGATGAGCCATTTTCCATCTCCTTCACTCTGCTTCTTGGTGTCTCATTATTCATACTTGAGATCATTCCAGCAGCTCTCTGAGTGTTTTCTCACTGTGTTCGTCTAGCCAGGCTGCCATCAGAGCCAAGCCAGCAGCTCTTTTCCTCATTCCTCCCTCTTAGTCGCTGTATGTTATCTCAACAGCCCGAGGTCCAGGAGAATGATGTGGATCCCCACTTCAAGCGCCTGTTTTCACAGATTTCTGGAAATGTAAGTCCTTACATTTGCAATGTTTCTTATTGAAGGGAACAGACCATTCCCACTAGCGCATTAATAAGGAGGGAACCCAGCTTCTGTTTCCCCAACAGTTCTGTGCCCCTATTTCCAGTCAACAGTGGAACACCCCTATTTCCAGTCAACACTATTACTGGTGTAAAGGCCTGCTGTTTGAGTCCTGAATGTTCATGTCTTTACCTTAAGTTTGTGGATTTTTTTTGGTACCTTGATCCTTTTTCCTTGTTGTTGTCCAGCTCTTCCTGAAGCTGCCTTTTTATCTGACGTTAAGGACCAAAGATACAAACAAGGGATTAATGTGGCTGCTCTCTTTCCTGAATAGCAATGTCTTGTATTTGAACTTGGTAACAAAAGCTAAACTCTGTATTCACTGTGGTTTTGTAAGGCTACACTACAGAATTGTACTCTTTAGGTGCCCAGACATAGTTGGTGTAATGTCATACATATTTCCTGATTATCCTTCAAAACCTTTTTTTCCTCCATAGGATTCTGAGATCTCCGTCTTTGAACTTCAAGAAATTCTGGACAGAGTTGTGTCCAAAAGTAAGCATCACTTTCAGTTAATGTTCTTTGAGAAAAGGGTCATGCTCCTGACTGGAGTTCGACAGAGAAATCCAACCCTGTGAACGGTCATGACTGGCCTGCTAGGGATCGACAGAGAAATTTAACCAGTGAGCGGTCATGATTGGCCTGCTTGCTGCTGCTCAGCACGACTTCTCTGCTGCAATTCTAGGAGCTGATATTAAGACAGACGGCTTCAGCCTGGAGACCTGCCGTCGCATAGTCAACCTCTTGGACGTATCCTTCTGCAGTCAGGAAAATTCATCCTAAACATAGATGCATTCATGTGAAGTTGTGTCTTTTATTGTTTTTTTACATTTGAGTATAATTGTATGATTTCTTGCAGTATAATGTTTAAGCACAAGTATACGTTTGTTGTTGTTATACTGTATGTTCTTGCTTAGGCAGTGTGGTGCAACTGTTAGTGTTGGATTGGACTCCCTCAGCTCCCTGCCGCAGAGGCTGCTCTGCCTCCAGGGGGCCTGTAACACGGCAGTGTCATTGGTGTTTCAGAGGACACACAATGGATTGGTTGTCTTCACATGATCCATCTCTACTATATCCTTATGGGAGCTGTAGTTTTCAGCTGAATTGTCTAATGATTAGCTTCTTCAAAACTGTGAGATATAAATAGACCAATATGGATGGACCCCTCAGCCAGTTATTCTACAAGAACTCCCCTTCTGAGCATAAAACACTATGGGTTATAGATTGCAAGCTATAGCTTACCTTAAGCAGAAGTAACAGAACTCAGAAATTTACAATGCTTGAATAATTAGTAGGCAATTAATTCTATAAATGTTAGCCTAACAAAAATCTCACAAAACATGATGAGTACCAGCCACAAGTATGTGACTTCACAAAATTTTCAGAAAATCTGGTGGAACAGTTTCTAACACTTTGTGAGTTTGGATAAAATCCCGATATTCGATAAGACCTCCGTGTAACATTGTTGAAAGTCAGCAGCTTTGTGTGAGCACCCTCATGAAATTTCACTACATGTAAAAATGACCTTAACTGTGTCCAGAATGACAGAACTGGGAAGCTGGGTCTGGTGGAGTTCCATGTGCTGTGGATGAAGATTCAGAAGTACCTGGTGAGCGCCAGACTGCTCCCCCATGAAAAACGGCACTGCGCTGCAGAGCTGTGGTTGCCTCCCACTTTGAGAGTCAGTCAGCTCTTCGGACTCATTAAATAATTGACCTAAGACTAGTAGATCTTTCAAGATTAAAACAAAGTACATCATACAGGCAGGCATATTTTAAACTTCATACATTGTTTTGACTTTTAAAAGGGAAGTTCATGTGCATGTTATTGTTATTTTTCATCTCGATGATCTGGCTTCTCTGTGACATTCTGTATCACACTAAAGCACTGACTCATGAGCTCAGTGGTCAAGAAAAGGACTGTCTCCTGAATCCACAGAGGGAGTTTCAGTGTGTTTAGTTGAAACTGTATTTATGTCCCCCAGGAAATCTTCAAAAAATATGACTCTGACAGCTCGGGCACCATGAGCTCCCATGAGCTGAGAGCAGCTCTGCTAGAAGCAGGTAACTGGCCTCCAGTTTGTCTTTCCAGCTGTGATCAGAGCGCACATGACCTCCTTTCATATAACACTTGGAAATTACTAACAATACACACTGCCTTATTTAACAAGCAGGGAGCTGCTGACCGAGGTGAACAGACGTAGCTGTGATCACTTCAGCTTCTTGTGTGCCTCTGCAGGGTTCCAGCTCAACACCACTGTGCTGCAGCTGCTGGTGAATCAATATGCGAACGCTGAGTACGCCATCGCCTTTGACAGCTTCGTGGGCTGTCTGACCCAACTGGAGATGCTCTTCAGTAAGTCCGTCTTCATGCACGGTGACAGGCTTTACTGTTTTGTCACTGGAGACTGAGGAAACACTGTCTGGCCATTCTGGTAGGTGGCAGCAGTGTGCTTCTGTCCCAGTCCCAACTTGACAGCCCGATCATCCTTATTACATCCTGTGACACAGACCAATATATCATAAAGAAGACACCATTCACATCTGCGATGAAATAATACTTATTTCACTCACATTCCTTTTCATGCTGATGTGGAAGGAATGTTGCCTTTAGCTCATGTTTATATTTAGATGATAACCTCTTCACTCATACTAAAGGTCAGGGCACTGAACATTAAATTAGTACTACTGCTCATGGAGATATCTTGCAAACATCATTCAGCATCTTTTCATGTTTTCTTTCCCAAACAGAGATGTTTAACACTCTTGACAAGGACAAGACCGGGACTGTGCAGCTGAACATGTCACAGGTAACGCACTGACTCCTAGTCCTGAATAGAGAGACAGGGGGCCTGAACTCTGTGCAACACCATGTCCGTAAGATGCTGGTCACCCCCGGCCCCAGATCAAAGGTCAGCCAGTGCAGGCCAGCAGGGCCCTGGTAAAACACTGGGGTGTATTAAACTACTGTTTGCTGTAACAAAGTTTTTGTTAGAGCCAAAAGTTTTGACTACCATGTTGGAAATGGCAGCAATCCATTTGTCTGTGATCTTGTATAACATTGCAATATACTGAAGTCACGTAAGTATAATTAATAGTACACTGTTAAACAGCTTCTTAACAGTGACTAATTATATCTACAGATTGCCACACAGGGAGCAAATGAAGAAGGGCTATAACTACCTACAAGAAAAACATATTAAATATATCAGGCACTGGTATATTTACTGTATGTCTTTCCAGTGTTGGTGGGTTCAGTGCAACCCCAGACACACTCTGTGTGTGGTGCTGTAGGACTGTGCAATGGGGTCAGTGCAAGGCCAGGCAATGAGCAGGAATTCAGTACAGCCATGCTCTCTCACATCCTTACAGCACAATCTGGGGGCACTTTCCAGTCACAGACATACAGTATGAACTTCAGTATGAATCACTTCTGTTACAGCTTTATTGCACAGAGACATACATGTAATAATTAATATCAGCTCAGAAAACGTGGCTGTAAAACAAAATGGTCAGACTGTGTGCTGTGAAGCTCTTGGTGGCTGTGAGAGAAGGTGGGCTCACTGTGCCATAGATGCTGATGTGTCACTCATGGCTGACCTCTTCTGTCCTGTTGTTCCTTTCAGTGGCTGTGCCTGGCTATCAACTAAATCTCCTTTCTCCTGAAGACCATTCCCTTAATGCCTGGACACTCCATCCCCTTCCATTTCTACAGAATTGAGCTGGATATCACTGCCTTAAACACCTCTTAGGTTTTGTATGAATGTTAAAATTACCTCCTGGGGAATACATTTCATTTAGCATGCTTGTTATCTTGACTCTGAAACATAGCTTTATTTCTGGTGTGTGGTTTATATATATATGGGGATATATACACGTGTGTTGTGTATGTGTAGGGGGAAATAACTTCCCTCCACTTGCTCTTTGACATGGAACTCAGAAATGACTTTCAGATCCATAAAGTATCAGCAGCCCAAACTGTGACTTTCAGTATTCCTGAAATAGGTACAGACACAACAGTACTACAAGTGAACTTTCAGTAATAAAAATAAATCCAGAGAATTCTTGTGTATACCCCAGTGATACACACTATCGGCAATGGGATTGTATTCTGTGAATAAAAGCAATGTTGTTCTTTATTCTGGGCTCTATTCCTTATCATCTTACTTTGAGAATGCTACCATTGCATAGACTTGTGCAGTCTTCTAAAGCCTAAAACCTGAATTTGAAATTAATTACCATCTGGAAACAAGTTTTTATAAGCACAAATAAATTTAATTTTGAAAATAGATATTTTGCCACTGTAATACTTATAAATTGTAATATTTCTCGTTTCTTCCTGAAATGTTCATTAACTGTGCTCTGGACCCACTTATTATTGTTGTTATTATTAAAGAAGATGATTGATCACTTTGTGCTAGGTGATAAAACATAAACGCAGTCAACATTTGTGTGATACGTTAAAAATGATTTACATAGTGATCACTGTACATTATTCATATCTAAGTGTTGTTAGCAGACGCGCACTCAGAGCACAGGAAGGAAGGCACACGGTCATGTTTTCCAGCTGTGAGTGACTCAGTCTGTGACAGGGGCGCGGCACGCGTGCCCACGGAGAAAGACTGGTGCCAATTACTCGATTAGACTGTTAGGGTGGGTCAGCGAGCCTCTTGAGAGAGGATAGGTTCTTCAAGTCCACACTGAAAAATAAACTGAAATAAATCCAGAGGTATTCTTTTAATTTTCCAGATCGTCACTGCCTTTTGGAAAAGAGCCTGTACAAAGGGGTCATTAATATTCTTTGATACCAACATGGAGAAAATCAATGAAAAAACAAACTTACATATAACATATTGGTCTATCGAAAAATATACGTTCATACACTTGATAAAAAGCAGCAATCTTCTTGGTTCTAGTGAATAATAATTCGGGATTGTACATAATCCTATGGAGAAAAAAAACTACATTATTTCGCAATACTTTTAATTGGGCGTGATTAAACTATTCTTGAATTTAATACAAAAAGTTTATTTGGATCTAAACTGATTAATGAATAGGTACATCCTCCCAAAAAATCTTGAATACATCTTGGTGACTCACAGACGCAGTTCAGCCCTGATCAGCCCTTTTCCCGTGTTTGTAAAGTGACGCTTCGCCACACCCAGGCGGTACTGAACGCTCGGAGTCTGCACTCAGCTGCAAGCGACAGGAAAGCAAAGCAGAGCAGAGCTCAGCCGTTTGTGCAACATGTCTGGGATTGCCTCTAAGCTTCAGCACCAAAGGGCAAAGGCGCACGGTTTCGGCACCAACGAAAAAGCGGTGAAATACCTGGGCCAGGATTTTGAAGCTCTGAGACAGCAGTGCCTGGCGTCAGGTGTGCTCTTTGAGGATGAGACCTTCCCCCCCGTGCCCTCAGCCCTGGGCTTCAACGAACTGGGACCGCGCTCCTCCAAAATCCGCGGTGTAACCTGGAAAAGACCGACGGTAAGATGATATGATCTCCTGGCGCAGTCAGACATTGCGGGCGTCGCTGCTGGCTGATGGGCAGGAGTTCGCAGTTCCGCGGAAAGCAGGCTGTGCCGTGGCTGCCCTGCAGTCAGTGTTGTTTTTAAATCCCTTCAACATGTAGGTTTTCGCTGTGCTGGATTCAGAATTGCTTTGCTATTTTAAAAGTACTGAGGAATTTAGAACTTGAGCTTTTAAAAGGAATTACAATTCTGTTAAAAAAATCACAATCCTTTTTTACCATCCAATCGACCTCAAATTATTCATTTTGGAATTGTAATTAATTTGAAAATACTAATAATTTATTATTAGAAAATGGAAAATGTTATTATTTTTGTCTAGTATCCAGGGCATTCCACTGAGCAACCACACCCACAAACTTTTACAGCAAATTCTGTCAAAGCAGAAGTCCCACCTCCTCTGGCACAGACCTCAGAGCTGACTGAGTGTACCGAGTTAGGGGCGACTTGTCTTGACCCTAAGGCACCTTTCTATTCAGCTTTGAAATCACCTTTCTCATATTCCAGGGGTAGACATTTCCATGTTTCTGGTGTGAGTTTGCTGCTCGTGTTGTGTGCTGATGACAGGAAGGTTTGAAAGGAGGGAGAGTGTGGATAGCACAGGCTGCCCTTCGGTGCTGTGTCTCTCTCTGCAGACATACACACACACTGAGAACTGGTCAACCAGTGAGCCTCAGAGCTCCCAGGAGAAACGATCCTGCAGGCTTGGGAGCCCTGCAGAGCCCTGTAGATGGACACTCTGATTCACTTACAGTACATAGTCATGGAGCTAAGAGAACACATGTGATGAAATTCCAAATGAGAGGCAGCTCATCTGTTTCACTTGCTCTCTGTGGCTAAGCGTTCCTCTGATCGCCTCGAGCCATTTCTTGAAATGACTGAGTAGCTGATGTTATGGGTAACTTTTTCATTCCAGCAGGTGAATCAATAGAGAACAAATACTCGTTTACAAAGATGATTTACAGGCCCATTTGTACAGAATTACCATTTTTCTTCTGCTTGTGCAATGCCTTCCTGCATTGACAGTATCCTTCCATTTAGAGCTCTCTGTTAGAGCAAATATCTAGTCTTTGATAATGATGACTTAATTATTCTATTGTACTTAATTATTCAACTATTGTATTATCAATATGGCATTCATGATTTCAGAAATGCATTTATTATATAATAAAATAATTATTATATCAGAAATTCAAAATCTTGCTGAAATATCAAAAGTTTACCTATTGTGGTATATCTGAAATAGATGACTTGAAGGATTTATTAATCTAAGCTTTTACCATTTAATATTGAACAGCAGTGTTGAAGTAAGAGGTTCAGCACTTGGAGCCAGTTGGTGCTGTAAGTGTTTCCTGTGTTCAGCACAGCCTGTAGATTGACTCATACCTGCTCTCCTCTGCAGGAGCTGTGCTCCAGGCCCCAGTTTATAGTTGGAGGTGCCACCCGGACTGATATCTGCCAAGGGGCTCTTGGTAAGTTTCAGTATGGATCGCTGGTCAGCCAGCACACCCGCCCTGGCAGTGTAACACTCACTGCAATGCAAGAGTGTTTCTTGCGTCCACACTGCTCTCCTCTCTGCACGGCTCGGTCTGCCAGCAGGGGCTCTTCTGAATGCCACTCTTGTTTGTCTGCTTGCTGTTGGCTCAGGGTCACAGCCACACTTTTTCTGTCTTGACTTTAGCACAGGAGTTTCATTGTGAAAATCTGAGATTTGAGTAAATATTCTAAAAACTTGAAAATACAGCCATATAACCTTTAACAAAGAGCGCTTCACTCCAGATCACCAGAACAGCACCCACAAGTCTAATTTAGTTTTGCCTTTTCTCTATGTAGTTTTGTGTATCTCCATAAACAGCTGTTGTTTAATTATAATTATTTGTGTAACTGAGTAGTTACCTTAATACAAGTAATTTATGTTTATTAACTCAATAATATATTCAATGTGCTATTTGAGAAGCGAATTATCTTGCACAGAAAAATACAATGTTATTGAAAAAATCTGTTTAAGTAGAACAGTCTTTTAATTTATTTAATAGCAAGAAATCCTTTAGTGTATAAATGTTTTCTTTCACAAACTCATGAAGGACAGAAAGTTGTAACAGCCAGTTGATGGTAGATAAAATCTGATTAACTACTGGTTCTGCTGCTATTAATTCATATGCAGCAACACTTGTGGTGCAGAGATGTCCATCAATATTAAAATACGGAACCAGGTCTATAAGTGATTTCTAAAACCTGACACTGGTCACCAAACTACTAGTGTTCAAATAATTTGTATAAAATACATAATGGATTAATTTCTGTAGCATTTAAAGTATTAAATTCAAGTGATTTAGCTAAATCATTATAAATCTGATAACATTCTGTTATTAGACCTGTGCAAACAAATCATTACAAAATTAAGTGTATTCCAGTAAACATCAGTAAGACTTTCTAAAGAACAGAGAGGCACAGTAAAGCTCAACATGACCTGTGTGCAACCAAGGTAGAGCCGAGGAAGTGAGTCTCAGGAGGACTTTGAGAAGGCCGTGCAAGGTGACAGCCTACAGGAGGAGAGGGAGTGGTCTGCTGGGTTTAGATAGATAGATAGATAGTACTTTATTAATCCCGGAGGGAAATTGATTAATTTCCTGAGGCAGTCCTCAGCCTGAGGCAGTCCTTCCGTTGTGGGCTCAGTAGTTTGTTCACAGAGGTAGTCAGAAAGAGCACACGGGACAGTCTGAGCTTGAAGCACTAGAATTAATTACAGTATGTTAAACTGAGTCTAACAGAGAATGCAAATAAACCATATTAACTTGGATAGGCCCAGCTGCTGGAGGGCTGGGTTGTCTCTGATGTTCTAAAACAAGAACGGTGGAGGTATTGTAACAGCTGGGGCTGGTATTTATCTGCCAGTTACCATGAAGAAAGAGCAGCTCTCTTGTTCTTAAACTTGTCTGTCCTGGCTCTTGATGGAAAAGGTCTGCTGTCTCTCTTTGTCTGTCCAGTCTCCCTGTGGGCTTCCCAGTCTGCTGGTGGAGCTACTAGGAGCAACAGACAATAATCTCAGCAGCAATGAGAGTAAAGCAGATGGGAGGGATAATGACTGACAAAGCTTCTCCTAATAAAATGCAATTATTTTGTATGGTGGTGTTAGTACAACTCTTCTGCTAGTTTAAGTCCACTGATATCTGAATGTGGAAGGACAGGAAAGCCTGCATGAATCGAAAGGCTCATCAGGTGATTGTAGTGATTAAAAGAACTCCTGATCCAGAAATCCCTTGTGCAGTTCGTACCTCTCTGCTGCTATCTGTGTAGTTTAGTCATCAAAGTTTTTACCAACTCTGGTGCAGAATATTTACAGAAACAGAATCTCTGTCACAAGCTCTGTGGTAAAGGCAGCACACAAAGCTGCTTTTATACCACAGCTTGTTTTCCAGTAAAGTATGGAAAAGATTATTGTTTTCCTCAGGGAAATATTCTGTTAACCTAATTTCTTAACATTGTCCTGTAATTGTAATTAGAAAACCCAGCAGAGGTCTTCGCAGTGTCTGGCTGTGCAGTGAGAGATATAGTAACCTAGGTGAATGTGCAGTGGTATTACTACATTCTGTCTACAATGAGCTGCTGTATAATTCTTGAATGTATGAATAGTAATTTAGGACACAAACATACCCTTGTCAAGTGGATACATTTAATATTATAAGGCAGTATTGAAACTCTAACATTAAATTCTCTTAGTTAATGTAAACTTTGCTGCAAACCCCTTTGCCTATCCTGCTGTCAGTGTAGTATAGTGTGTTGAAGATGGCTACATATGTCCCTTTGATTGGTTCATCAGTTTAGCTTCAATGTCTGCACTGGCAGGTAATTCTGAAGCTCAGCTGTCATGTTACTCCGTTACTCTGGCTGGATTTGCAAGCTTCTTGGTTTTGTTTCTTATATTTTATTCCACCACCACTGCTCCTTCAATCAACATTTTCTGTATCAACTCTGAATCTGAATCAGGTCCAGTTTTCCAGTTTACCATGAGTCCCAGATGAAACCAATCCTATTTACTGACTTTAAATATAAATTCATATGTCAGCACAGCAGATCATTTTTCTCATATTGTGATGCTTATTTTCTGCTGATCCTTAAATACTGTATGTTAAATCATGCCTGTGAAATCCACTTTGACTGTGCTCATGAGTGCTGGTCATTGTTCTATTGTTTGTAGAGCCCTGATTGTATTGAGTGACTCCCCAGTGTGTAGATTCTAAAGTACTTTTCCAGAAATAATTCCAGCTGCAGCTGAATTCCTAGTCAGTTCCTATACTTATGTGTTATACTGACAGTAAAGGCCCTCAGGGAACAGGGAAGCTCTCTAAAGAAAGGGTGCCCAACCAGTTGATCACGATCTACCAGTCAATCGATCACAAGAAATAAATAAAAAATAAATGGGCTATTTGACTATTTACTTTTTTCGATAGCCTAAAAATGTAGTCAGATCTGTGCATTTAATGTCATACATTTGACTGCTCTTGTGTGTATTCAGTTCTTGGCGAACGGGTTGTAAAAGTCTCTTCCCTGCTGGCTGACACTGGGAAAAAAAGGCTACAGGAGCTCCGTAAATAAAGAGTATTGTGTGTGCTACCCAAGAACCCCACATTCGCTACAGTGCATAGTGGAGAGAAACAGACTGTTCGTGACAAATTGGCCAACAGTTTGATAAGTTTGATTGCCTTTCCGATAGTTGTAGTGTTTGAGCGAAAATGATGACGCAAAGAGACCGAAAATTTACCAGTACCACAAATAATGGGAGCATGATTATTTTTTGTACTTTCCCATTCAAATCTGCAATGCTAGCGTCTACACGAAAAAGGGAAATATAGAACAACATTTCAAAACTGCACACAAAATGTATGATGTGGAATTTTCCGCTAAAAGTGAGTTACGGAAAAGAAGAATGGAAAAATTAAAATCTCAACCAGCAGCAATCGGTTTTCACGAGGCCTAATACAAGAGGGAAAGCAGCAATCATTGCATCGCTCCGTGTGAGCCACGTCCTGGCTCAACACAACAAGTCATTCAGGGATCGAGAAGTCATAAAAAAAGCGTTTGCTGAGGCTGCTGACTTGCAGTTTGTAGATTTCAAAAACAAACATGTTTGGGGAGGTTCAGACAGCTGTTGTCTGAAATCAAAGAGTTTCTCAAGTCGTCTAAACACGGTGAATATGCCCAACTAGAGGATGACCAGTGGCTTCTGGATTTAGCCTTCCTCACAGACTTGACTGAACTGCTGAATGAGCTGAATGTTGAGCTGCAGGGACAGAATGAAACTGTCATCGACATGATCAGCAGTGTCAACACGTTAAAAAAAAAAGAGTTCTCCAGTAAGCTTCTCAGTGACAATGGTCATGGTAGGATATTCTTTTTTCTAAAATGGGGAACATTACTTGTTCACTGTAGCATGAGTCACTTGCTTTTATTTGCTGTCATTTTAGTGATGGGTATCGTTATTGTACTCATGTGTCCACAGTCTGTTTTCCCTGTATAAGAGCTTCAAATTCACTCTGGTAGATTGCGCTGGTCTGGCAAATGAAAAAGTAGATCTTACATTAAAAAAGGTTGGGCACCCCTTCTCTAAAGGAAAGGAGGTTGAGTCCCGGCCCTTATTCTTTCCAGCTCTGACACTCAGACAGTGGCAGCAGGTTGGGCCACCACCCATAACCTGCCTGACCCCACAGCTTACCCAAGGTGCAGTGCGGTCTCTTAGTGAAAGATATTTCTATTGCACCTTGACATACATGTCAGGAATGCAAAGATAATTATATATCTGTTCTGTACAGGTTATGCTTTCTCATTCCAGTGCTGTGCATGATGCCTGAGTTTTCATGGGTGTAGCACAGCCAGCTCTGAGCTCAGTTAGCCTGGAAGCAGCAGGAAGATACAGCACAGGGAAGGAAATGATGTGTGGATGAATTTGAAATCTCTGGGATACGCCTGTTTCCCTGCAGGCGAGACAGTGAGATCTCACCCCACACCCCTCTCCCTCTCAGCAGAGCTAAAGGAATCCCTGCATGTTTTTTTCTTCTGGATGTTCATTGATAGTGGGATTTGCATAATGAGCTTTATTGGGGGCAGCTCACCTGCTGAGGAGAATGACAACCTGTTCAAAAAGAATGAAGCTGTCCTTTCTAAAAGCAAAGATGCCATGCTGCTTACAAAATAGTGCCACCTACTGGACAATTTACAACACAACAATCCATTCAGTTTTGTAACCAGCAGAGTGAAAATGATCTATTATTTGACTTCAAAATGTATTTTTCATGTAATTCAAATTGGGGAGACTGGTAATCCTTGTAATTAATATCTTTCTTTTTAATTGTGAAGGGTGTGCTGTTTCTCAGCAAGCCCAGGACGCCAGTCTGTAACTGTGTTTCTGCCCAGGCGACTGCTGGCTCCTGGCTGCCATCGCTTCCCTGACTCTGAACGAGGAAGTCCTGGCTCGAGTCGTTCCCAGTGGACAGAGCTTCCAGGAGAGCTACGCCGGGATCTTCCACTTCCAGGTAAGGCAAGGAAAAGAACCAACAAGAAAACACAACAGGACTAGGGAACAGCACATATTTCCAGTGGTGTGTTATTATATTGGAGTTGTGTGCCTTATTGATCCTGCTGACTGGGTTTCTCCCCTGTGAGTGCCAGAAGAAGGTGTCTGGATCTTTCTTTCAGGTGATGACCTTGCCGTGACAGAGTTCCATTTACTTCTGATGAGCCACATGTTTCTGTTGTAATGTACAGTACTATTTTTTCAGAAACCTACGGTATTTTATTTCACTCTGCGGTGGAAAACTGCCACCAGTGTTGGAATAATTCATTGGTCAAGTGAAACATATTTCTCAGCTTGTAAGTAGTTGTTAATAAAAGGCACAATGTAATGCTTTGACAATTTCAATTAGTGACAGGAAAAATGCTATTTTTTAAAAAAAGCATGTAAGCAGAGATGGGACATGAGATGGGGTATGTTGGGGTTTTCCTTTTTGAGTCTGACAATGGGCAGTTAAACCAGCAAATAAACTGTGTAGCACAATCGTTCTTTGGCAGTTCAAATGCTTTCTGTCTCCCTGCCCACAGTTCTGGCAGTTCGGAGAGTGGGTGGACGTGGTCATCGATGACCGGCTGCCCACCAGAGACGGGGAGCTGCTGTTTGTCCACTCAGCTGAGGGCTCGGAGTTCTGGAGCGCCCTGCTGGAGAAGGCCTACGCCAAGTGAGTAGGGTCACTGGTCTCTTTACAGACAGAGGTCAGCATCACACAGAGATCCTACACCATAACCCTAAATAACTCAGTGATAAGCTTGACAGGAAAGTTTAAAAATCGAGAGTAGCTAGATATAAATATATTGTTGGAATAATTCAGAGTGAATGGACAAAAATGATTGCTCTGCTAAGGCTGTGTGAAAATATGTCCAGAAATCTGCTGGAGTGCACTGACTCTTGTTAACAAGACACTGGAAATATTTGCTGACAAATACCAGCAGAAAGTGTCTTCTGTGGCATTTTCTTTTTGAGAAGGTGATTGTTTGTAATGAATCGATATTGCATACTGACTCATTTCATCCCAGTACGTCTGTGTACCTCAGAAGATGTTCAAAATGTCTCTGTAAGCAAGCTGTAATTTGCGTGTGCAGAATTGGATTTCATGCTGTGTTGATGTGATGTGGTTTGGCCTGTCTGCTGTGGAATAACTGCAGTTGTGCTCTTCCTCAGAGTGTGTCGCAGGCCAGTAAAGAGATTTTTTATCGACAGACTGAATGGATCCTACGAGTCCCTGTCGGGCGGAAGCACCACCGAGGGGTTTGAGGATTTCACCGGCGGGTGTGCAGAGGTGTACGAACTGAAGAGCAAGAACCCCCAGCTCTTCAAGATCATCCAGAAAGCCATCGAGAGGGGCTCTCTGCTGGGCTGCTCTATCGATGTGAGTGGAACCCTGGGGTGTTCACCGCAGTTCATCTCACCTCACTTTGACCCAGCAGCTTCCTCAGTCCTCTACTCCAGAGGACAGAGCAGCCGGTCTTCAGTCCTGACCAACACCACTCTGTAAAACACCTTCAGGACATTCTAGAGACAGGTGATCGAGACATAGAGGGAGCTCGCTAGGTCTGCAGAGCCAGCGATTGGGGAACAGCCCGACGGACAGGGAGTGTGGTTTGACAGTGGCTGTCTTCAGCTCTTCTTCCTTCAGAGGTGTCCAGCTGGAAATGGTTATACTTATATTGGGGATCAAAACAAAGACAGGAACATTATATTGGATAGCAGTGTCGAAAGGGTAAATGAAAACAAACGTTTTAAAATTTTAGAGTAGTGTAAGAAAGAAGGAAATAAAGATCTGGTTGAAAAGTGTGATTGCTGAGGAAGCTGTGCTGTTACGCTGTCATGGCCATCATTGGTACACGAGCACACATGGAGGCTGGCTGATGTGTTGGCTGTACTGTTTAGATCACCAGTTCAGCGGAGACAGAAGCTGTGACGTCACAGAAGCTGGTGAAGGGACATGCCTACTCTGTGACCGGCGCCGATGAGGTCAGTGTGAGCCTGCCGTGCTGGGCTGGGGGAGTGGAGGAGTCGAAATGTCTTCTCAGTTACCGTCTGGAAAAAAGTTTCATCCCCATTTCCTATTGTTCTAGATAAAATACTGTATTTAGAATGGATATTTTAAAGGTTAGAAGTTCTAGATTGAAGGTTTGAAGGTTCGATTAAGCAAGCAGCCTTCAAGGTCAGATGAGCTGCAGATGACCTCCTTTATCCTTATCTTCCCTAAGCATCTAAGTCAAAAGGTTACTTGAAAATAGTCATGTTGGTGACTTGTTTTCAGAAGGAACTGCAGTGAATTTAAGTCCCTGCCTGTGACCAGACTACAGTGTACAGTAAATGTTAGATGTCTTTCCTGCTGTCAGTGTATCTGGATGTTTTCTTACGGGACTCTTGATTTAGTAAAGCCTTGTGTGTATAGACTCAGGGTTGCAGGTGTACAGAGTTCTTATCCAGGCGTCGGTGCTCAACCTGCAGGATCACCCTACCCTGCAAACTGCTTGTCTGTATATATATCACAGAATCTCTAGAGCTGAACAGTTTGACTTGCTTGGAGCAGAAATAAGCTCCTCTCTCGCAGATCACCACACATCTGTGAGAGGGGTGACTGGCTTTATCTGTGGCAGGTGAACTACAGAGGGGACAAGGAGAAGCTGATCAGGATCAGGAATCCCTGGGGCCAGGTGGAGTGGACTGGACCCTGGAGTGACGGGTGAGGCTCTGCTGTCTGTGTCACCTGTCTCTTCTCACACAGAGAACATCACTCATCTTCACCTCCTGTGTATTATTAATAATCTAATTAGAACAATCGAGTTACATCCGTCAAACAGGAGGTGCTACAACTGAGGAACTAAATTGCAGAAATCTTACAAACTGATGCATATGTTTGTACAGCAGCTTTATCAGAATACTGCAAATGGTGAAATGCCTTTTTGTGCACAGCTCTGTGCAGTGGAGGGAGGTCAGTGATGAAGACAGAGGGAGACTGAGCAACAAAGCTGAAGATGGAGAGTTTTGGTAAAACCAGCTTTTCTTTTATTCATCCTCCCCTGTCCTATATTTCTCTTCCTGAGTTTTCTCTATTTTTGCAAAAAGGAAGGTCCAGTTCTGGACCTGGGTTGCTGTCAGTGTGGAGTTTTATATGTTCTCCCCATGTTCACATGGTTATCCTCCCAGTATGTGTCTGTGTCTGCAAATGACTGGTTTCCCATCCAGGCTGTACCCTGCCTTGTGCCCAATGCTTGCCAGCATAGACTCCAGCTCCCCTGTGACCCTGTAGGGGATAAAGCAGTTAGAAAATGATTGGAAATCAGGAGACAACACATCTGCTCTAACCTGTGCTGAACTGAGACTAAGGACAAACTGAAGTCTTAATATAATAATAGCTCTGCCAGATAGGCTGGGTTGTGGTGTAGAGAGTGACACACCGGTTAATTGTGCTTATTTCTCCCTGTGTTGTCCAGGATGTCTTTCTCTGACTTCCTGAGGCACTACTCGCGAGTTGAGATCTGTAACCTCACCCCCGACGCCCTGTCCGAGAATTACAAAAAGTGGGCACTTTCCAAGTTCGATGAGAGCTGGAGGAGAGGCTCCACAGCAGGGGGCTGTCGCAACTACCCCAGTAAGGACAAGGACCCCTTCTCACAACACACTGTGAACTGCCCAGCTCCACCCTGCTGCTCTCTGAGCCACAGCAATCTGGTTTGAACAAGTGATCTTCTCTTGCTTGAAGTGTTTCTTGTTCTTGTGCTCCTGCAGAGCTAAATGTAAGGTCTGGACCTGCATCAGCAGAGAGACTGGTCTGTAGTGGACAAAATGAAATAGAGATTTAAATCAAGAGGCTTGATTTTTTTTCTTGCTCTTTACTCAGTTAATGCATTACAGAGCTTACTGGAAAATTTTAACTGAAACTAGAGCGGGTATCATTAAATATGTTATGCTAAAATTAATATAACAATAAAACAAGCACTTCAGTTTCTTCTTTTGACCTTTGGGAATTTGTACAGCCATCTTCTATAGACCTTGCCTGTAAGAAATACTGGATGTCTGACGGAACAGAAGTTATTGTCGGTTCTACAGTAGGGAGTTCTGACTGATGAGGTCCTGCCCCTTCCTGTTCCCCAGACACCTTCTGGATGAACCCGCAGTTTGTGATCAAGCTGGAGGAGGAGGATGATGACCCTGAAGACAACGAGGTGGGCTGCAGCTTCGTGGTTGGTCTGATTCAGAAGAACCGCCGGCAGCTGAGGAAGGCGGGCGAGGACATGCACACCATCGGCTTCGCCATCTACGAGGTGAGCAGACCCGGAACCTGCAGCATCCTACAGTGTCTCACATCATCATACATATCTGTACGTTTCCCAGGGCAGTGACTGGATGTGCCAGCCCCCTGGAGCTCTTCCCACTGCAGCTGCTGGCTTCAGGTTCCCTCTTCTGCCCCAGCTCTTCCCCGGCTGCCCATTCCAACTGCGGTCCTAGTCCTAGACTCCTGCTGCCCTTTCTGCACCACTCTCTCCTGTCTGCAGGAAGGCATCGTGCCTTCCCCTCCACTCTCATCCCTCCTGCCTGCTCCGTCTCTCCTGTCCCCTCTGACGTAACCAGCTGGCCGTGGCACTCTGGACTCCAAGTATCTCTCCTGAGCCTTGCGCTGGATTTGATCATTGACTTCTTAAAGGTCCTAAAGGTCAAATGTGAATAAGGGTGGTGCTATACAAAACTTGTATTGTAGATTCTACGCTCCACCTGTCTCTCATGGCTCCTTGTTTAACTGCCTATGTTTTATACATGGACATAATGAGTTTCATCACTGTTTCCTGCTGTATTCAAACTACAGCACCTTTTAAACTACTTCTTACACCTGTATGAACTGTTCTTACTTGTATTAATAATGCATCAGTGGGATGAAGATGTACTGTGCAATCACCCACTGCAGTGAATGAACCATTGCAGGAAGATAGTTGGATACTCACTCCTAGATTTTATTACACTTTCTGCTACATCAAACCTTTGTTATCTCCTTTTAATATCTGTGAATTTGTGTGTTTCCTTTCTTGTCATTATAGGTTCCCAAAGAGGTATGTTACAAGAGGAATTACACTCTTGAGGAAGTAGTTTGTATTCCGCCACAGTACATCTCAAATTCTTCAGGATTGCATTCTGCCTTTTTCTGTTATCCTACCTGGCTGGTACTTCTTCCAGCCAAAAGCCACAGGTGAAATAACAAGCTATTGTTATGCTTTTGTAAATCAATTGTAAGACATTAGCCCTCCTGCGTATTGCCAAAACATTTGCAAGAAAACTATAAAAAGTTAAAATAGAGATCTGTTATTATAAAATTGTGTGATTTTATTGTGAGAGAAACAAAATATGCGCAGTATTGCACAGTATCACTGAAAAATAATATTAAGATTTATGCGTCCACAAAAACAAGTTCAGGAACAAGGACAGTCTTCTCCAGATTCCAAGTGCTATTTGTCACTGTTGTCACTGTCAGTATGTAGGTTTAAATCTTAAACTTGCTGTTGTTTTAAACATGAGATGGTGTTTTGCTCAAATTACACCAGTAAATACCCTTTGTAAATAAATTTGTGAGCTCAAAGGAACAAAACCTGAAGCCAGCAGCTGACAGTGGCTTTCCCTGCCTGCAGTTCTCAGGGCAGAGGAATGTTCACCTGAACAGGGACTTCTTCCTGAGGCACCAGTCCAGTGCTCGCTCCGAGACCTTCATCAACCTGCGCGAGGTCTGCAACCGCTTCACGCTGCCCCCAGGGGAGTACCTCATCGTGCCCTCCACCTTCGAGCCACAGAAGAACGGCGACTTCTGCCTACGTGTCTTCTCCGAGAAGCAGGCCGACTTCCAGTAGGTTCACAGTGCTGCAGACTAGTCACTTAAAGGGCGAGGCAGGCCAGGCACTCAAGCTCACCCCTGTTCGAAGGCGTCTCTGAACAGGTCTCGGATATAACAGAGACACTAATATATAGCACAGCCACACGGGGGCGTAGAAGAGCCCTTTTCAGCTGGAGCCAGCAACCATTATTACTGGGTGATTAAAGAAAATGTATTTGTTCTGTGTTTCTTCAGGGTTCTGTTAGCTTGAATTTTCCAATACATCAGAAGCCTGCATAATCAAAGCCCAGATAAATGTTCACCTGAAAAGTTTGATTATATTTAGAATTGCTGAGGTAGCTCTTTCTTACCAAATCCACATAACTCAAAAGTTACTGGACATGTGGGAAGTGCAGTATTTGTACTTCAAATCCTAAACTGGAAAGCTTATGACTGTGTGTTTTTTTCAGAGAAATGGACGACCCCATTGAGTCCAATGTGGAGGAGGTAAAGATCACCGACAGGCTGTGGCGCCCCTCTCTGCTTTCACCCTTCAGCCTTTTCTTGGTCATCATTAGTAGACAAAGCCACTGAAGGTCTCTGCAGAGACATTTCTACAGACAATTTAATTTGAAGGACTTCTAGAAACTTTAGCACCATACATGAAGATGTGGGGTAGAATCTTATTCAGAATACTGAGCTGCGTCTCTATCCAAGGCATGACCAGCCCTGTTCCCAGAGGGCCACAGTCCAGCAGGTCTGATGGGTCCCCCACAGGTTATCAGTGTCCAAACACTGGGAGCAATTCTGTTCTGTTGTCTTAAGTGGGTAGTTTAGAGATCATGAGATGTGAATATGCTACTCTGTAGCTTTCATCCACCACAAATAGCCATTCCCCACTTAGTTAAATCAATTTAATTACTAAATTGATTAAAATATGTTTAAAGTCTTCAGAAAATGATCATTTTAGGGTGGCACACAAGACTGCTCAATAGTGGCTCCAAAGAACTAGGGCTGGCCAATCCTGATCTAACCCTTAATGGGGATTCGAAGTCCATCGGAAAACGGGACTGTCTGCGAAGGAATACCTCCTCTCTCTCTGTTCTTGCAGATAGTTTTATCTGAGGGTGATATTGACGACAGATTCAAGAAGCTCTTCGGACAGCTGGCCGGAGAGGTGAGTACCTGAGCTTTATTTCTTAAAGCAGGAGCTCACACACACCCAGGAGGGTTTTCATTACAGCCCAATTGTAATGATCAGATGGAATTAATTGTTACCTTGACTGCAGCAGTTATGGATATACATATATGGAATAGCCCCTGTAAGTCAGGGTGAAACATTCAGAACATAACAGGAAACTCACGGCAGAACCAGGAGAGACCGTGACTGTCTTCCAAGAGCTGCCAGCAGGATGTTCGTTTTCATCCCCTGCTTAATTATTCCTGATCCACACATTTGTGTTCTTTCACAGGACAGTGAAATCTCAGCATTCGAGCTACGTTCCATCCTCAACAAAGTGGTGACACGACGTAAGTTTCTTTAATTTATCTTGGTTCTTCTGTTTTTCAAACATTTCCTCCTTGAATTGGAAAGAAGTCTGAGCCTCCTAACCCCAATCCCAATCCAAATTCCCTTTCCAATCCTTGCGACGCCAGCCAAGCCCCAGTTATTTACTTGGACCCTTATTTTGAGCTTTTGAAAAGTTTCAGATTTCCAAGACGCTTTAAGGAAGTGCTAAATTAAGAGAGAGCTCAACTTGTTAACCTGAATCTGAAAAAGTGCTGAATCGGTCAGGTTTTATCAGTGGGTGTTACTGTGGTGTCCTGAATCAAATCAACACCTTTCTGCCTCCACCCACATTTTCTCGGTAAAGTAACAGGCACAGCTTATAGCAGGAAGGTGCCCCTGTAGCACAGTCACTTGTTGAGCCATTCTAACACCTCTCTTGGGTTAGGTTACCAACGGTGAATTGCATGAATCTCAATTGTCACTACAGAGAAACGTGAGTGTGTTTATATATATATATTTTAGGTTCAGATATTAAAACTGATGGATTCAGCCTGGAAACCTGCCGTAACATGGTCGACCTCTTGGACGTATCCTTTCTCAAGTTCTCAAGTTAAAGCTTGTAGTTTTGGTAAGACACTGTCATAGATCTAGGCTCAGTACACTACACAGTAAAAATTCTTTCCGGAATTGAAAACAGCTGGAAATTCTGTGCTCTGTTCAATTCTGAATATTTTTATCACAATAACATAATCCGGTAGCTCACTCCTCATTTCAGATTCTGATGTGAAATCTGAAAAGGGAGGAGCTGAAATTTCTTCTTAAGAACATGGTTTTTCCCTGCTTGTTTCCTTGACTCCTGTCTCAGAAGGATGGAAGTGGTAAACTGGGCCTATTGGAGTTCAAGATCCTGTGGACCAAGATTGAAAGCTATCTGGTATCTAATCCTGCAGACACCAGCTTTCATTGATTTGAAAAAGTCAGAGTTCTATATCTCAGTTATCATGCCATGATGGAATTCTAGAAACACAGCAAGCAGCTGATCCCGATCTCTGCTTGAGATCAGATTAAAGATGAAGGAGAAGCCTCTCGATTCAATTACACTCAGATGCTCTTTGTTCAAGTCCCAAGTTCAAACTTCTTAAACTGTTAAATTTGTTCTGCAGTTCCAGTTTCCCTCAGGTGTTATCATGCTTTTTTACAGTTTCCATTGCTTCTTTCAAGTTTTCGCAGTGCTTTTTCACACCTGACTTTGTTTTTACAATAGAGCACGTTATGAGGGCCTCACATAAGTTGGATACAAAGAGCTGTTCACAGTTTCTCCGTGAGGCCCTGTACCCTGTGCCTGAGCCTGCAGTGCTCTGTGTAGCTTGTCTGTTGAAAGATTTGAGTCTTTGCTCCTTGCAGAATATCTACCGCGGAAAGGATGCAGATGGGTCTGGAACCATGAGCTCCCCAGAAATGCGCGTGGCAGTGGAGGAGGCAGGTGAGATCCTGTGAACTCGGCAACGTCTCTTCACAGGATTGGACAGCCTGAAGCCCAACACACTTCTCAACCACACTGCTCACGTTTTCTCTGTCAATATTGTGGCAGTACGAGCAAACCCTGCTTAATGAGGGCTAGACATTCCCAGTTCTGACTGCAGCTGTCTCTCTGACTCTAGGTTTCAAATTAAACAATGCGCTGCACCAGATCCTTGTGGCTCGATACAGTGACCCAAACCTTACCATCGACTTTGATAACTTCGTTGGCTGTTTAATTCGTCTGGAGTCCCTTTTCAGTAAGTGACTTTTATGTGCATTTTAATAATGAATTAAGGATATATGAACAGTTCCAAAAGACAGAAGGCCTCTTGGCCCAACCAGTCTGATTGGTTTATTTGTAGTGGATGTCTTTAATTGTTTACTTGACTATAGCAAACTGATCAGTTTCTTGAAGGTATACATTTTCTACAAATCTGTGATTTTCAGCAAACTGATGTGATGTGGTATTCACATCAGTACGAGTCAGAAATTAAGCTTAGCAGTTACTGGCTTGGTCTTCATTGGCACTGTTGTTTCTCTGCAGAGATCTTCAAGACACTGGACCAGAAGAAACAGGGAGAGGTGGAGTTCACTCTTCTGGAGGTAAGCTAGTGCAGGCATACTGAGCTATGCACCTCATTAGACACCTTAAAAACATATTTGGACAGTTAAGGAGTTATTGACCCTCCTGCAACGATGAAACCAATATATAAATACAAAGATAAAAAACAGCTCTCCTTCCTGTCTCACAATGAGATGACTCTTCCCAAAATAATGTGTTTATTCCAGTAGGTTGGGCAAGTTGGTTAATTGTTTATAGTTTAAATCTATTACACATCATTCCACTGATCTAATAATATCTGATAGTAATTATTTAATTTACTAGTCACTAAATAGAAGAGAGTCACAAATATGGGCACTCATGTGCTGGTATCTGTAAAACTGGACCATCATTCAGACCAGACTGGTACTATCCTGACTCCAGTAGCACAAGTGACTCCTGTAAGTCACACAACCAGTCATCAGATTGGGGTGTGAGCTACACCTTACCCTCAGCAGGGACCATCAGCAGCTCACTGTCTGGCATTGCTGCCTGGATGTGTGTACAGAGCTCCCAGTCCGCAGCTGACCTGGGGCTTCCTTCTGCTCCAACCTGACTGCTTGACCTCTCCTCCACAGTGGCTGAATTTCACTATGCTGTAATGCTCAAGAGGGGTGGGGACTGGACAAGCTGAGGACAAGACACCCCCCCTCCGCCCTACCTGAAGCACAGTGAGAGAGGAGTGCCCAATCCCATGAGGCAACTGCCAGCTGTCTTTTACATTTTCTTCCTCTAACTTTATATAGACGGTTTGCTACTGTATGGCTTAAAAAGAAAAATGTATAAATAAGCAATAAATATCTCATAGAACTAAAAAAAACAAGAACAGAACAATACATTTTAAAAATACATTCTCCTATACAAATTATTTTTTGATGCTTGAATGGTGTCCAGTACTATATGAGACAGGCACTGCTCTTTCAAAATTTGTGTCTGTAAAGAAATTAAGAACAGAAAACTGTCATTGTTAATTGGGGTCAATAAACTTGTTTTTGAACTAATTCACTGACTTTTGTTGTTTTTGAAGTCTATACTAAATGACAGAAAAAAAGCTGTCTACTTGTTTACTTTCACAGCTGGAAAGTCAGCTGTCCACCAGCCTCAGGGGCCTCAGTACAGCCCAGGCAGGCGCATCACTGACTCCTAGTCAGGCTGCAGCTCTGCTGCCCGCCTGGCAGGTGCAGAAACCAGTTGTAGCTCAGGTTTGTGTTCAGTCAGGCCTGTACTCTGCTCACACGTGGCAACAGAAGCTGCTCAGACTCGCTCTGCTGAAAAGGCAGCTTTGTTCCTGAGCCCTGGGCATCCAGCTGCCTGGAGCTCTCCCCAGCTTGAATTCCTCAGCGTCTGTACTGTAGGTGTCTTTTGTGCTGCTGCCCTCCTCTCTCTCCTGCTGACTACGCTGTGAAAGAGGGTGCGGCCTCAGAGCTGCTGGGACAGAAATGTTTTTAGTTTCAGTGGGCCGCCATCTTGGCTGAGCTGTTTTCTGAGTGTTGTCTTGTACAAAATGTACTCCTGCTGGACCACTGTATGCTGTTGCTATCTGGCTCCAGCCTGGAGGAAACAAGGTATCTGAAGTCACCCCTGTATTAGGATTAAGTTGATAACAGGCAGTAGCAAATACTTTTGTTCCTTAATAGACTTTTTTATTAAGACTTTAAGGAAGATCTTTTTTGAAAACTTGCACTTGCATTATTCATGTGTAGAAGTGACTAGTAAAAGTTTTCATTAGAGGTGTGAGAAAAGTAACAGAGAAAAATAAATGCAATCGGAAAAAATAAAGTTAAAGCTGTGCTTTACGTGCTTTTGACTCTTTGGTGACACTGGTCATGAGGTTGGAATCAGCATACAGTTTCAGCAGCAGTGCAAGTTTAACATGGGATAGCACTTTGTACAGTAAGCTTAACAAGCTGACCAGTTTGCAGTTATCGATACTTTGCCACAACGTGTAAAGTTCAAGGAAGTTCACCAAGGGGATGGCTCTCTCCTAAAACATTTCACAAGCAGCCCTTTTTTTAAAAGTTAACTCCAGTGGGTAGGGCAAGTTGGTTAATTCTTATCTTTTTGAGTCTGTTACCCATAATTCCACTGGCATGAACTTCTTTTACATTGAAATACTGCGAGAGCTGTAACAATTTCATTTTCCCTGCTGTCAATATCCAATTTTTATATAATCTGCAGATAATTTTCATTCCTTAATTTTTTTAACTTTTGTCCTTTTGTAAAAATGTGTTTCAGTGTGGAAACATGATATACTGTAGAAGCAGAGCATGACAATTCCCAACAGGGTTTACCATCCACAGCAAATGTTCTTTAGCATGTTGAAACCCACTGTATAAAAAGGGAACTGCAACGTTATTTTTATATTTCGGGGTTAGAAAGTATCGGCATTGATGAGTGCATTTCAAATAATAATTAATAATTGCTTACACTTAAATAGTGTTTTTCTGTACACTCCGCTCAAAGTGCTTTACAGGTAATGGGGATCCCCTCCAACACCAGCATATGCAGCCCCACCTGGATGTTGTGACGGCAGCCATAGTGCACCAGAATGTCACCACACACCAGCTCTCAGTGGGGAGGAGAACAGAGTAATGCAGCCAATTCATAGATGGGGATTATTAGGAGGCCATGATTGATAAGGGTGTATGGGAAATTTGGCCAGGACACCGGAGTTATACCCCTACTCTTTTAGAGAAACGTCCTGGGATTTTTAATGACGACAAAGAGTCAGGACCTCGGTTTTACGTTTAATCCGAAGGACGGCGCCTTTTTACAGTATAGTGTCCCTGTCACTATACTGGGGAATTAGGACCCACATGGACCACAGGGTGAGCGCCCCCTGCTGGCCCCACTAACACCTCTTCCAGCAGCAACCTTAGTTTTTCCCAGGAGGTCTCTCATCCAGGTACTAGCCAGGCTCACACCTGCTGAGCTTCAGTGGGCTGCCAGTTGTGAGTTGCAGGGTGACATGGCTGCTGGCATTACAGTTACAGTGACTAGTGACCAAGAAGGAATGTCACAATTTGTGCAAACTCTTGCTCTCACCCATGGCGAGACCAGGGTTTTGCGACAACATGGCAATTTACAGTATCTTCACAAAGTTCACAATTTTGTAATTAAATTCAAAATTTACAATTTACAATTTCTGTACCATTAATACATTTATTTTGTTACTGAGATTTAATAACTGGTCTTAGAAATTGGTACTGGTCTTAGAAAAGTTACATTTTAAGGTCTAACTCTACATTTTTCACAGTGGATCTAAAAGCCTTAAAGTCCATCCAGTAACTATTTTTCAGGTTTGTCCCTGTGCACTGAATAAGGTTTATGTTGATCTGAACTACAGCACCTCCAATCCCCTCCCACCCTGACAGCCTGACTGGACTTGAATCAGACTTTACACTCATCCAGCATGTCTGGGCAAGTTTGGGCGATGACTCATACCGTCATACCGTGCTGGGCGCTCCCCTTGTGGCAACATGACAATCTCCTTGAGTAATAACAGGGCAGGTACCTTTGTTTCTACAAAGCTGAGAGACCTGTGCTTGCCCCTTCCACGGCACACAACGGAATCTGGTCAGAGGAGGAGTTATACCAATTACTGATTTGCAACAGGGATCTCCACAGTGTTGCACAAGCAGTGTCCACAGTGCATCCATTGGGCAATTTCACAACAGGTCAGTAACATTGTCCTTTTCAGACCAACCCATTGTGGTAAACTGAGAGAGAAGAGGAAGTCGACTTTATAATCAGCTGTTATACAGCATCACCAGAAGATACTGACCTCGATCAACACTACAGTGGTTCAGAACCAACACATTCTGCACAGCAGCTATAATCAGCGTTTGAAGTGTCTCGCTTCGCAGGACCACAGTCCCAGGCAGCAGGTATCAGGGACACAGGCAGAGCCCGAGAGGGAGAGGCTGCATTTGAGAGCAGCTCATCAGCCTCAGATGTATTTGCCTGCCAGAGAGGGCACAGGGGCTCCAGGCGGCTGCAGGCACAATGCCAGCTGGGTGGTGGTGCTGCAGGGACTGTAAGCAATCAGAACTGCATTTGGACTCCCCTCTGCTGTGAAGGAAAGCACATCATTCAAGCCAGAGCGAGGGATTGTACGGACCATGAAAGCACATCGCGGCCCCTCAAGATCTTTATGAATAATGTCAATTTGATATCACAATACAAAGAAAGTCGCTTTGAGTGGCTGAATCTGAAGAAGTGGTGGAAACCTCCCTGTTCATTCAGCCCTTGGGGTAACTGCACATTCTGGAGCACCGTGGCCTCTGGCCAGACAAGGTAACATCGGGCATACAAGTGAGTTCCTGTTCAGTTTAAGAACAACCGTTGTTTCGTCACAAGTGCTACATTGACATCACAAACTATTGTGTGGGGGGCTTCAGAAAAAAAAAAGCCTCATGAATATTTCCAGTAAATGCAATTACTCCAAATTCTTAATGTGGATTTTCTAGCTGCATGCTGGAACTTGCATACAAAAAACTGTACACAGCAACAGGTTATAGGATCATATCATTATGAAAAGTGTTTTTGCTCATCCCATAAATCCAACATAATCCTATAAAAAAGCCAACACACTGGAGCCTGCCAGTTCCCAATATTACAGTCTGCCACAGTCATTGCTGCAGGTCACAGTGAGCTCAGTGTGCAGCCTTGCTCTGTGCAAACTGTTGAGCCCATCTTAGAGCCTCTCCAATATCCTGGGCAGTTCCTGTGCCCTTGGCCACAGTGGCAGAGCCCCCTGCATTGCCACCAAGCCGGGTACAGACAGCCAGAGCCCATTCGGAAGCAGAGAGAGATCGGGAGCCCTGGAAGGCAAAGAGAGGGAGGATCAGGAGAGGGACAGAAGCACAGCTGTGCGGGTCACTCTTCTATCGGCAACTAGAGCCAGCGCTGCAAGCTACATCCTGAAGATACAAATGAAGAGAGTCTAACTGTGAGGTATGATATTACTTAGCAAATGTTAGATGCTCTGCAGGAAAGGAGATCGAGTGAATTTGCCCTCTGGTAGTTCCTGCCAAGGTGCATCACAAGTAGAGTCGCCTTTCTTAGTGCGCTCAGTTCCCAATGGATTACTATTAGATCTGTCTTTCTGTGCAAGAAATTAAACAGCAAGTAGAAACAAGACATCCCTGCATCGTAGGGCACCTCCAGGATCTAGGATGTTCTTATAAAACAAAACATGAAAAAATAAATTTGGAAATTTTGCTATTTTGGTTGGTATCACTGAATTAAATTGTGTTGTGCAGGTCACTGTGTGAATTAGAGCACTGAGCTTTCCTTACCCAGTTTTCAAAGAGTAACAGACACCCTGAAAAGAACACTGATGAGAGCTGTGTGGTTTCAGGAGTGTTGTCAGCAAAATTACCTCAAAGCTGCTCAATTCACAATGATTAGACCAGAGAAATAACAGCAAGAATTGATACCAGATGCTGGAGTTTGTAGTATAAAACCGTCTGCTATAATTATTGTCTAAATCCACAACACCGCTGGAATAAGACACGAGAGAACATGTGGAGTATCAGAGTGAGGCCTCCTTGAGAAGTAGACTGAAAAGACACTGGCCTGGGACCCCTCTCATACACTACCTTCACAAGCCACCCATCTGAAACACCCTCCCTCCCGAACAAAGCATTTGTAAAAATTAAGGACGTCACTGTCCACTTTCCAGTGTTTCTCACTGCGCTTTTCAGAAGGCCACTGGTTCGAGCCACAGACAGCCCAGCTGCTGGGGCTCACCTTGGGAACCTGGCAGGCACACAGCACCCTCCCCGATGGCAGGTGGGACAGCAGCATCACGGATGCCCCTGGCGACTGGTCACTGTACTGATTGACCGTCTTCATCACAACCTGGAACAAATCACATCATAAGTGCCATGAACAATCACTGAATAGAGCTGCTGTTTTGCACAAAGGATTCTGGGTATCTGTAGCACGCTAAGCATTGCTTAGAATAATTGCTTAAATAAAATGAACAGATTGACTTGACAATACAATACTTTTGTATTCTCAATACAAGAGATATTGACAAGTTACTTCAAAGTCGATTTCCTCCAGACATTTGACAGGTGTTAAGTCAATGAAGATTAGAGTTTTAGGAAAAACAGGTTGGACTTACAGAGATTGAGTCTGTATCCACAGTGTCCACCACCAGCCTCTTGTCTGTGTGTCTTTTCAACAGAGCCTGCACCTTCTTGGCAGCCTGGTGTTGAATAAAACATTTTCCTGCATCAGCCTTCTTCTAGCAAGCTATCCTGCAACATTCATGTAGTGCTCAGGGTGAGCACTGTCCTTTCTCATCAAGAGTCCGCCTTCACTTCAAACCCAAGCTTCCCTTTTCAATACATACACATACAGTCCAGTGAAAAAGAAAGTACACCCTCTTTCAATTCAATGGTTTTACATATCAGGGCATAAATAACAATCGTCTGGTCCTCACCAACTTCCATAATTAAGACAAATCTAGCCTCAGATAACAGACAACACATAACAG